GGCCAGTATGCTTTCACTAGGTGACTTCTACATTAAAGGCTGGACCAGTAATCCTGGAGAGGTAGTAGGTGTCAACACAGAGGCGGAGGGGACTGCATGAACTGTTCCTGTTCCATGTTGTCAGGAGCACCAGTGGCCTTCCTCCCCATCCTTTCATGTTGACGGACACCCTCCAGGTTAAATAATAACTCCTGTATTACCAATCCTATGAATCAATACCTTCAGGTGTTCGATACTCCACTGCTAGGTTTGAGGCTGGTGTTCCTGGTTCTAGGAGAAAGGAGGCTGAGCAAGCCATGTGTAGGAAGCCACTAAGCACCATAGCCTCTGCATTAGGTTCTACCTCCGGGTCCCTGCCCTGTCTGAGTCTCTGTCCTAACTTCCTTCAGTGATGAACAGTGGTATAGAAGTGTACACCAAATAAACCCTTTCCTTCCCAACTTGTTTTTTTTAGTCATGGTGTTTGTCACAGCAATAAAAACGCTAATGACAGGGCTGGAGAGATGGCTCAGAGGTTAAAGAACACTGATTGTTCTTCCAAACGTCCTGAGTTCAATTCCCACTAACCACATGGTGGCTCATAACCATCTATAGTGAGATCTGGTGCCCTCTTCTGGCACATAAGCAGGTAGAATGCTATATAAATAATAAATAAATCTGAAAGAAAGAGAGAGAAGGAAAGAAAAGAAGGAAGAAAGAAAGACACACTAACAATGACATCTACTGGGTTATGGCCAGAGTGAAGGAGAAGTGGAGTTAACAGATGTGGATCTTAACCACGAGGTGTGCCCAGCCTGCTGCTGACTGCGACTCTGGCCAGACCCACCTGGCACCTTTACCTTAATAGTTGGTTGGCAGACATTTACAACCAGGAACAGCTCCTGTGGCCTCAGACACTGTGGCCTTCCCAGGTCGCTGGGTCTGGTATCCATGAGGAGGGCTCCTCTTCGTCCTGGTCTACACTGTGACGAAGCTTAAACAGGCTACAGCGATGCCCAGATGTGTGAGGCCCACTCATGCCCATCCCACCACTGAGGTGACGTTCAGTCTGCTCAGTGCAAATGCCACTCCTCCAGACCGCCTAGCCTGTCTCCCTGCTTCATAACCTTTTCCTTCTCCAGCATACGTTAGTTGTCTGGGCAATGGCCTGACCCTGTCCTCTGCAAGGTCAGTCCTAGGAAAAAGAGATCTGCTCTTTGGTTTGTTTGCTTTGCCAAGTCCTAGAACTCCCTGTATAACTGGTATGGGACGGGGAAAGGGTGCCCTTCCTGGAGGAGGTGACACTGCTGAGCTAGCTGCCCAGGGGAGGACAGAGTAAAAGAATACATTCAGAAGTAAACACAGCAGCTGGGGACTGAGGGCCCATGGGAGTCTGCTGCACAAGGTGGGGGGAAGGTGGATGGGCTGGCTTGGGAGAAGGGAGAGGTGGGGCCTTGCCTGTGTCCTCTGCTGGCTGAGAGTCAGGCAAGGTGAGAGAGGCTAAGAGCAAAAGGAAGACCCGAGGGGCTGGGCCAGAGATGAATATTGTTTAGTGAATGAAGGAAGGGTTGAGTTGGGAAGAGCTGTCCTTTACTGAGTGCTGATTGCCGAGACCCGCACTATGCTCCCTGACACTCTTTCCTGTCATAGCTACTTTCCTGTTGTGATAAAAAAAAAAAACTTGTGACCAAAGGCAACTTAAGGAAGAGGCTGTTTCTTTTGGCCCATGGTTCCAGAAGAGGAACATGAGTTCATTATGGCAGGAGGGCATGGTGGCACATGGCAGGGCATGACAGCATACGGCAGGCATGGCGGCAGAGGGCAGGCATGACGGCACACAGCAGGGCATGGTGGCAGAGGGCAGGCATGGCGGCAGTAGTATCAGGCTGAGAGATCACATCTTAAAGATCAAGTAGAGGGCAGAGCTTGAACTAGAAATGAGGCACAGCTTTTAAACCCTTAAAGCCCACCTCAGTGGTACACTTCCTCTATCGTGGCCGTGACATGCCTCTGTAACCTCTCCAAACAGCTCCACCAACGGGAGACCTAGCTTTCGAATACCTGAACCTAAGGGAGATATTTCTCATTCAAATCATCACAACTATCCCCATACCAGCCACTATACCAGGATGCCCAGATACAAAGCACAAAGCAGCACAAACCAGCCAGTCTGGCTTGTTAGGAAGCAAATATTGGGGACTGGGAAACCAAGCCACTTAAGCAATCGTGCCACATAACCCTCAAGGCCCTAACTTCTCCCCAGCAACCCCTCAACCTCCCTCTTTTCTTTTCCCCATCTCTGTCATCTCCCACAGAGAACAGTCTAAACTGTTCAGGTACCAGGGAGCCCTGAAGAAAACTATTTGAGAGGGAGAGACGCTAAGGAGGAGCGACAGGCACTGTTCTCAATGCCTTATGGGAGGCTACTCAGCCATTGGTAGGGACGGTACTTGTTAAGCAAAGAGGGCCATCATTATCAAGGCACCAAACAACAGCAAAACTTCATAGAAGGCAGTGGACTCAGAAACAGGAAGAAATTTGCATATGCGGAGAAAAAGGTATGTATTTCTTACTAATAATGAGGGGCAGTTTGAAACTGGCCCAGATTGTTAGGAAAGGTGGGAAAGACTTCCTGGGAGGCAAACAAGATGGTTCTAGAGAAAAATGAAGGTCAGAATCAAGGCCCAACAGCACCTTTTGCAGAGTCTGAGGGCCCGGTGGCCTGTTTCAACCTCAGCTCCAGTCACGGTGGGGGAATTCAATGGGAGGAATGTGCCAGTCTGCCTTCCCCATTTGTGGCCTGGCCTTATGAAGAGTTCTTCTGTGTGGAAGGTATCTGAAACATAGGGGCAGAGAAACGTGTGGTCATTGCAGCTGTGACTGCTACTGACCATCATCTCCAAAGACCAAGTATGTGTCATGGTAACGTAAATGGCCACACTTGGCATTTGCCCACGGTGTCGCAGAGGTCTCTAAGGCAGGTTGTATTCATTTGAATAGAAATGGCTCCTATAGGCTCATATATGTGGATGCCTACCACCAGGGAGAGGAACTGTTTGAAAGGATTAGGTGTGGCCTCATTAGAGCAGGTACAGCTTGGTTGGAGAAAGTGTGTCACTGGGGGTGGGCTTTGAGGTTTCAAAAGCTCACACCAGGCCATCTCTTCCTGATCCACAGGATGTAGCTCTCAGCTACTTCTCCAGCACTGTGTCAGCCTGCTATCATGCTTCCTGCCATGACGATAATGGACTAACCCTCTGAAACTGTAAGCCAGCCTACAATTAAATGCTTTCTTTTTGTCTTAGAGTTGCCTTGGTCATGGTGTCTCTTCACAGCAATAGAACACTGACTAAGACACTGATTGGTTCCTTTCCACCTAGAGCTGGGTGTGCTCCTGCCTTTCTCAAGGCCTTCAGCCCTTCACTCCATCTCTGTTCATCCTAGCCTCCTCTCCGTTCCCAAATATTCCTGAACCAAGTCAAGTCTCACAGTTCCCTTTTCTCCTAAGCCCTGGCCCCAAGACACACTTGCCACCTCTCTAAGACCTAATTGGGGACTGTGAGTCAGGGTTAGATTAGAGTTTGAAGTAGAAGTGTGTCTTGGGGCCAGGGCTTAGGAGAAAAGGGAACGCAAAAACAAGCACTGTAATGCCAGGATTACAGGACCCTTAGAGACCACCAGGAGACGATTTGATGCAAGAACAAGAGAGCTTTATTACGAGAGCGATTGAACTTGGGACCCAAGTCTTACTGACACAGCAGTAGAGAAGTGGGACCTTGATCCCTGAGTGAGCAGGGTTTTTAAAGGGAAAGACTGTAAGCAGGGGGTTTCCATGACAGCAAGCAGGGGGGTACATGTTTCCATGAAAGAAAGCAAGGGGGTTCATAGGCAAGAAGGCAGAGACAAGCCACACATGACTTGGCTGGGGTGAGGGAAGCCACATTCTTAGACACCCCCCTCATGACTACGGGGGTCTCTGCAACCACCAAGGCCAACAGAGTAACGATTCACATGAGGCAAAAAGGCAGTCCGATTCAACACAACTCACTAGCACCATGGAGTCGGTTCAACTTTAGTAAAACAATACATCAGGCACTCCTTTTTTTTTTTTCATCTCCATACAACGATAATTTCTACTATCAGAGCTTTCTAAAAGAGTACTAAATTATGCTAAAAATCTGTATTATTACGTTTGGTCAGTTAGATTAGCCCAACCAAAATATTGCCCACCATGTGACTAAACATTTGTACACTATCTTTTTTCCAGACAACTGGTCCCAAAGGATGAAAACAACTCTTAGCATGGCAAAACAACAGCATTCTCTCCCCTATTACAAGAATGCCTTTGATCCCCCCTGACAAAAGGCTTTTGGATTCTTCACTGACAAGCTGAGAATCAACACACAATACAGTCAATAAATGTAACAGCATTGTTTTGGGGTCAGTAGTATTATGTCCTTGTTTCCCCCAAAGTCTTGGCTTGCTGCCTCCCCGAGTTATTGGTTTCCTCTTCCTCTTGGGACATCTCCTTTTGATGGATTTGTCGTCTCTCTTTAGACACTTCACTTGGCTCCTCTTCCTCTTGGGACATCTCCTTTTGATGGATTTGTCGTCTAGCTTCCCACACTTCATTTGTCTGGTGATCTCCAGGATGCTTGCCAGATGTGTCCTTGCCAGATGTGTTATAGCAGGAGGCACTTGGGACTTCATTTAGTTTTCTGTAAGATATAAGCACAACCTCGCCTCGATGTTAGGACATCGGGCCCTTTCCATTGGTTAGTTTTTAGATTTTTTTTTTTTTAACATATACCTTAGGGGGAGAAAAAAAGTGTTATCCTTTGAAAGCATTATCCGTTGAAGAAAAAAAATTAAAGTTAGTGTGCAATTATGTTTTCAGTCCTTGGACACCGTATCAGCCAGAAGAAATATTATAAAATAAATTTCTTGGTTCCAATTTGCCCCTATGTTTTTTAAGTACAAAGGAATCTGGGTGGTGTTTGGTCTCTAAGTGGCTGAGAGGCCTGAAGTGAGAAAGCCTCCATTTTGTATGTGAAAGACAAGATAAAATGCCTTATTTTGCAAGACAGTGAGCACATCATTGCATGGACACTCTGAGTTCCAGCTCCAAAGCCCTGACTGAGCCTGGCTGGGGGACCAAATCAGCAGCGGAGTCCACTTGGCCTGCAGAGAGAGAGAGAGAGAGAGGTTTTATTCAATGATCCTCCTCAGAGAATTACATGCACTACTGTGCTCCAGCTTGCAAAATAATTGATAGGGATTTTATCTCCTCTTTCATGGGCCCCTTTTCTTTAGCTCCTATGCATTTCCATTTTTTTTTTTTTTTTTTTTTTTTTTTGTTTGCATGTTTGTTTCGAGACAGGATTTCTCTACACAGCCCTGGCTATCCTGGGGCTTTCTCTATAGACACCACCACCTGGCTGCATTCCCAGTTTTTAACATCAATAGTTTCTGGTTTAGGAAACCAAGGACTGAATTTTACAGACTCTTGTACCAAGCTTCAGAGCCTTGCTCTGAGTATTTCGCTCCCTTGGAGCTTAACAGACATGTCAGTAAAATATAAAATGCTTCGTCTCAGAGGATTGAGAAGAACCCAAGCTTATTTTACTCTCTTACTTACCTTTGTGATCTCCTGGGTGAGAGGTCCAAACTTCTACTCCTGATTCTATTTTTTTTTTAAATTCTTACCTTCTCGGGCTTGAGACTCTCACGTTGGCCACCTGCTGGAGGGGTCTCTGCTGACACCACAGTAGAATAATGATCAAAGAGAAGCAAAAAGGTAATCTGTTTCAACACGACTCAGTAAACACTGTTGGTTCAAACTTTATTTTAATTTATTTTACATTTTTGAGACGGGGTTTCTCTGTGTAATCCTGGCTGTCCTGGACTCACTCTGTAGACCAGGCTGGCCTCTAACTCAGAGATCCACCTGCCTCTGCCTCCCGAGGGCTGGGATTACAGGCGTGCGCCACCACGCCCGGCTAAGTGCTGGTTCAAACTTCAGGAGTCTGACACCAGTTAAACAATTTTCTTGTGTGCACAAAAAAGCTTAAGCATCAACATTCTTTGTAAAGTACACAGGACACATGACACCTTTTTTTTTTTATAATTTATTTATTTTTCAATAGAGAGGTTTTCTCTGTTGTAGCCCTGGCTGTCCTGGACTCACTCTGTAGACCAGGCCGGCCTCGAACTCAGAGATCCACCCGCCTTTGCTGCCTGAGTGCTGGGATGAAAGCTGGTCTTCAGGACTTCCCCGGGCCACTGCAACCGCTGCTGCTGCTGCTGTACCAAACCACTAGAGTGCTGGAATTAAATGGAGTTAAAGGCGCATGCCACAACCCCAATCTACTGACTGACGGCTCCGGCTCCACTACCGACTGACAGCTACATCTTAAGGACATGGCCTACAGATTGCACAGAGGTAGCCAGGATATCAAACACCTCCGCTCCCAGCCTTCCGGGAGGAAAACAGGGTATGTGCCTCTCCCTTTGGAGAGACAACCCTGCGTGTTTAATATTTCTGGTTTCCCTCGCGCTAATCTGTAAGAACAAGGATGCCTGTTCCCACAGTGTGAAACTGTGAGGACAAGGATGCCTTGGTGCCACATTGCATGCTGTGGCTCTAAGCAGACAGACAGCAGTAGCTTGAATGGTATTAAACTTTGGACTCATAACTAATAATAAAAAAAATAAATAAATTACTGGTAAATAAAAAAAAACAAACTTTGGACTCCAGGTCTCTGGAGTCGAGACCCTTCCCTCTGCATACCCACCAAAGTGAAAAGGTTCTCCTCAGTGGTGAGCCGATCTGGGTCTGAGAGCACGTTGAATGGCAGCCGTGGACACCGCCACTGTAGCCTAAGGCAGGAACTGAGGCCAAGCAACAGCTTATAATTTTCATTTCAGAATGTGCATTCTGACCCAGTCACCTGGCGGTAGCTTACCTGGATGAGACCCGTGCAGGCGATCATGGTGAGCAGATCAGTGCCCCAGTCTCTGCGCTATCTTCTGTCTTTCCACGCTGATGTCAGGGAATGAGAGACAACGTGAAAACAGTCCTATTGGTCTAAAATAGCTCCCTATAGGACAACTGAGCAGTCGTATATAGGTGGCAGAGACACAGCTCAGAGGCTCACCCTCAGGGCTCCTCCCACCAAGCTCCCTCCCTCCTAGCAGCCTTCCCAATATGTTGTCATTAGTGGCCTACATCTCAACCTCAAGTCCCTCTCATGCCCCTTCATAAAACAAGTGTCCTTCTGACCACTGAATCACATTCCTTCAAAGGCTCACTCAGGCACACGCATCAACTCCAAAAGATCACCTCTGCCAGGCATGGTTGTGCATGCCTTTAATTCCAGAACTCTAGAGGCAGAGGTAGAGACTCTCTGTGAGTTCAAGGCTACAATGTGAGTTACAGGAACACAAAGAGACCTTGTCTCAAAAACAGAAACACAAAAAGATAGCGTCTCTATAAAAACCTTGTAGCGGTGAGTACATATCACCCATTATGTGTAATTTACCCTGGCCTTCCTAGATCCTCAAGTGTCAAAACCTTGGTCTCTGATAGCAGGAAGCCAAGCTGAGAAAGGCCAAGACAAAATATAAAGACATGGTGGCACACGTCTTTTTTCAATCCTGGAACTTGGGAGATAGAGGCAGGCCAGCCAGACCTACACAGTGAGACCCTGTCTCAAAATAAACAAATGCCTCCCGTCACGGACTCTTACACAGTGGCCCATGTCCTATGGGGAGGTTGAAATATCGGGCAGCAAAGAAGCAGGAGTGTGTGAAAGCGCCAGCATTTGAGAGGGACAGGAATGGACCCTTCAAACACGGGAAATGGCTTTCAGCAACTCCTCTCCCTGCATTATGGATGACCAGAGCACAGGCAGCCCGTGGTCGCTTCTAAATGCAGGTCCACACACAGAAATAGACATCAGGCCAAGAAGAGGTGCAGATATGAGAGGCCTGCAGCCCAGAAAAAGAGCCAGGAAGAGTCCAGGAAAAGAGCGCAGCCCAGCACAGCACTCCTCCTCCCACAGTGGTCTTTTTTCCTTACAAAAGTCCCATAAAGCAATGGCCAAGGATAACCAAAAAGGAGTCCCTGGGTAGAGACACTGGAAACTATAGGGATTGGGACAGCCATGTGACCTCAAGTGGAACAAAAGTCATATCTGTCATCTTTTTTGTTTTGTTTTTGTTTTTCAAGACAGTGTTTCTCTGTGTGCAGCCCTGGCTGTCCTGGAACTCCCTCTGTAGACCAGGCTGGCCTCAAACCCACAGAGATCCACCTGTCTCTGCCTCCCCAGTGCTGGGATTAAAGGTGTGTGCCACCACATCCAGCTATCATTTTATTTTTCAAATACTCAAAATGAAGTTCTGAGTTTGTCTTTGATTGAGAGTGAGGGAGCAGGAGTCCCGTGTCTAGACTACCTCTATTGTCACTCAAAGCCCTTGGCAACAGGTATGGTGCTATGTCAGATGAAAAGGACCAATTCGCTAGAGAACGGACTGGACAAGAGATCTTACCTCAAGTACACGTGGGTCTAGAATGCTCCTGACATAACAACTCCCATGATGCCTCTGTATACAGTGGGTTCATCTGCAAATGGCATGAGACCCTGATAAGCACCCAGCTTGCCACTGCTCACAGCAGAGCATGGTAGTTATGGGAAAAGGGGGTTGGCACAGGAGTTACCAGTCACTAAGCATCTCAAAACTGTGGGCTTCCTGTTTCCAGAACAAACCCATTGTTGCCTCTCATTCCTAAAAAGGATGTTGTGTATGGCCTATGGCAGAGCAGTTACCACCAATTATACCACCGATGTAAGGCACGTAACCCCCAACAGGATGAAATGGATGCAAACAGCAGGTTTGTGGGAGGGTACCACTGTGGACTGGCAATAGCTTCAAAGGCCATCTAGGAGAAGTTATTGCCCAGGGCAGGAAGCAAAAGCCCTGATGGCAGCAATGACACGTGGGCAGTTCCAATACCTTAGAGGCCCAAATGTATACAGAGCTGAGAAGCCACAGCATGGGGAAGCTCCCAGCACTGAAAGGCATGGGTGTGGACCTTCCAAACACAAGATGGTTCTTTCCACATCTCCTTTGCCCACACTACCAATGACTAGGGCAAGGGTACCCCCTGATCACTTACGAATGCAGGGCCAGAGAAGGCGGAGAGCCTGCCGTCAAATGCAAAAGCTTTGAGCAGCCAGCTCAGCTAAGTACAAGAACCTAGGAAGTACCTGTATTCCTGCAAAAATTTCTTCCACACAGCCAACAGGTAAGACAAAAGCAAGAGCTCTTAGGGTGTGGAACACGGAGGTTCCTGATCCTAAGGAAAACTGCCTAGTTGTTCTGCCTTGTGGAGGATGAGATTTTATCCTGAATAGTTTTATGTCAACTCGATACAGACTAGAGTTATCTGAAATGAGGAAACCTCAATTGAGAAAATGCCTCCACCCAGCTATAAGGCATTTTCCTAATTAGTGATTGATGGGGGATGGCCCAGCCCACTGTGGGCGGGGCTTTGCCTGGGCTGGTGGTTCTGGGCTGAGCAAGCCAGTAAGCACCACCACTCCATGGCTTCTGCATGAGCTCCTGCCTCCAGGTTCCTTGCCATGTTTGAGTTCCTGTCCTTAGACTTCCTTCGATGATGAACAGTGGTATGTTAGTGTAAACCAAATAAACCCTTTCTTCCCCAAGCTGTTTTAGTCATGGTGTTTCATCGCAGCAATAGAAACTCTGACTATGACAGACCTGGGTCATAATCAGCTTACTATGACGCAGAATTCTTTCTGCTTCTGATTCAGACCTTTTGCTGCTCATCCACCAAAGCAAGGAGGATCACAGGGGACTCGGGATTGAAGCAGCTTCGGAAGGAACCAGCTGTACATCAATGACTCGGGGGAGGGGGTGTTAAACTGGGGGACAGGGATGCAGCTGCCTTCATCTTCTGTCCATTTGTTTCCCAGTCTATCGTGGGAACCTGAGGGCAGCCATCTTAAGTTCAACCCCTACCTTGGGAGCGTCGTGGTCCAGCTGCTTTCTGGCAGGATACACACACCTCTCATGGCCCCTCTGCTCCAAGATGTCAGTTCTGCGTAAACAAGAAACATTTAAATGAGCATCAAGATGTCAAATCTGTCCTATGCATGAAGAGTCCCTGACGAATTAACCACATCCAGATACATCAGAGGCTGGATACTGTGACTCAGCATTTCCTTGTGACTCATCATTTCCTTGTGACTCAGCATTTTCTTGTGGGGGCGCAGCAATGGCGCAGCTTTTTCTTGTGACGCATTTTCTTATGGGGGGGCGCAACAATGGCGCAGTGACGCATTTTCTTGTGGCGCAGCATTTTCTCGTGCACAAAGAAAGATGCTGGCAACAAATCATCTACGATAGAGAGCACTTTTCAGGTATTTTGTGCAAGCTCTGATAAACGGCAGAAGTTCCAGAAGGTTCCTTTATCAAATCTCCTGTCAAAGAACCTCATGGAAAAATACTGCCTGACCGTCTAAACGCCCACTTAAAAGACCTCACCCCTATGCAATCATCATTTCAGTTAAGACTACCTGCCATCCACAAGAAGACCAATTTAGGTTCAAAATGAGAAATCAGTTTCATTCTCACCATAGATACTGCATAACTACCGCGCAGCCAGGCACTAGGGTTCAAAACAAGACAGCCAGATCTACCTTTCCAACTTCCCTACCTGAGAATGACGGACCAATACTCACATAGGACCTGGCCTCCCAGGTTCTCCCAGCATCCCTTGGTCCCTACCTGCTGCAGGGCGTGGCTGGCATACCCCGACCTCTTCAGTATATAATGAGACATTTTGGTTCCCCCTTCTTCCCCCCCACACGTATCTATTTCTCTCTCTCTCTCTCTCTCTCTCTGTCCACTGTGCTCTTCTCTCTCTCTCTCCCTCCCTCCCCTTCCCTCTCCCTGTTCTCCCCCTCCCTGTCCCCTGCCTTTCTCCCCCCCCCCCCCCCCTCTCCCTGCCCCAGCCTCTCTCTCCCTCCCTCCCTCTCTTCCTCCTTCCCCCTCTCCGGCTCCCTAACCCCTGCATGGCGCCGAGAGCTGCCCCCAATAAACCTGCATTTATAGACTCTAACTTCGTCTTCAACTACCTCACTCTGCCGTCTCAATCACTGACGCATTTCTAGCCTGAGCCCGGCCAGCCTGTCCTTAGAACCTGATTGAATTCCACACCACCTCTAGTTCTGGTGCCCATGGGAAGACAATTGGGTGGCACTCTTGTCTTCAAGGTGCACTCCCAGCACTTACCCGGACACCTGCTTCCTGGACAGTGGGGCCCACCAGTGACAGCGGAGAGTTGGGGGGAGGTGTGTTGGCTGCTGCATAACTAGCATCGTCATCCTTCGTGGTATCAAATGGGCCAAAGCCCAGCAAAGAAGCAACCACACTGGGAATGGGGTTTCACTGCAAGGCGTCACACATGAGTCTGGGCACCCCGCCCTAGGGTCCCGGGCTTATCAGCTTGGAAGGATGCAGATCGGAATGGGTGTCAACAGTCCGAGGACCCTGTGTAAGAAAGGACAAGCGGCTTCTGATGCCACATGAGCCGGAGGCATCCGGGCTCAGTCCCCAACCCTCCACCTTCTCCCAGGCACACTAGCACTGCGTTCCCAGGTCGCCCTCCCACAGGGTCCCTCTCCTGTCAGTTCGAGCCCAGCGGCCCCGGGAGGCCGAGGTCTCTGCCCACCTACGATCTCCTTCGAGTACCTCAGGAAGTCCATAGCCTGCTAGGGTAGCGGCATCAAGCTCGCATCGTAGCTTCCCAGGTCTTGAGTTTTCTTAAAGGAGACTGGAGGCCTTGGAGGAGGCCACGAGCGCAGAGCGAAGATGAGACACCTAGCAAGCTGAGATGCCAGGCAAAGAATGCGTCAGCTCTGCAGTATCTGCGCAGAACGATCCTGGACCACCGCAGTGTCGGCCCTACTGCGGCTGCGCGCGCGCTGCAGCCTCGAGCTTCGCCTTTGCGCACCTAGTCCGTGGGCGTGGCTCTGCAGCGTCCACAGCGGTAGGAGAGCTGAATTGCTAACGCACCAGCAAGCCTCTCCTTCCTTAATCCTAGCTTCCATTCTACCAAACAGTTTATTCTACTCATCCGTCCATGCATCCATTTTGCCAGAAAATATGCGTGGAACACCAGCTTCCTTCCATCTCATTAGTCATCCATCCTATCTGTCTTATGTGTCTAAATATTCATCCACTCACCCATCCATGCATTGTGACGCATTCACTTATGCGTGTGTCTGTCTGCCTGTCCATCCATCCATCCATCTAGCTTGTCCACTCATCTTTTCACTAATCTACTCATCCAGCTTTGCACCCAGTCAAAATATCCACCGAGGAACTACTTCCTAAAACAGACATGATCCCTAACTTGGTTACGTTTTAATGGGCATGATAAGCAAATAGGCCAGGAAATTCGACCACTTAAAAATCATAAGTGCCACAAAGGAAACAGGTATAGTGATAGGCAGATTGTGACAGTGGTGGCTTATTTATTTATCCAGAGTGGACATTTAACCTAATGCGTGGTGAAAAAAAAAAAAGGATGAATTATGAAATGTTTAGTATATCATATTCATAAGTCTATGTAAAAAGTGAAGTAAAGCTCATGAAAATGGGTGATAGGTCAACAACGTTTCTTTTGGTTTGGTTTGGTTTGGTTTGGTTTGGTTCGGTTTGGTTTGGTTTTCTTGAGATGGAGCCTATACCTATCTATCCCTGGCTATCCTGGAACTCGCTTTGTAGACCAGGCTGGCTTCAAACTCAGAGATCTGACTGCTTCTGCCTCCTGGGTGCTGGGATTAAAGCTGGCTGCCACTATGCCTGGCTGTTTCAAGTGTCTTTTTTTTTTAAGTTATGTTGATGTGTGTGTGTGTGTGTGTGTGTGTGTGTGTGTGTGTGTGTGCGTGTGTGTGTGTGGCGGGCACACGTATCATGATGTACATTTAGATATCAGAGGACAACTTCTGAGTTGGTTTCTTCTACTATTGTGTGAAGGGTTTCTACTATTGTGTGTATAGGGTTTGCCCTCAGGTTGTCATTCTTTTGTTTGTTTGTTTGTTTGTTTGTTTGTTTTTCAAGACAGGGTCTCTCTGTGTGGCCTTGGCTGTCCTAGAACTCACTCTGTAGACCAGGTGTTGTGGGGTCCAACATAACTCAAACACCAGGTCAATGCAGATGGCAAAATTTTATTGTCCTTAGCTGTGTCTCTATGTGTGTATATGTTTATCTCTGGACTTAAATTGATGATATTTTAAAATGTGACTGAAGATATTAATATTTTTGGACATGAGACAGTTTAAATCAACACCTCTGAGTTTGGTCCTGGACCATCAGAGTTAAATTCTATAAGACATTTTAAAATTTATCAGGTATCTTAAAATAATTACCTTTGGACAGTCTAACAAAAAACTTAAAACAGTTTCTCAACCCTTTGGGGGAGGTCAAAAGATCTTGATATTTATTTTATTAATTTTACAAGGTAAAACCAAGCCATGCTATTTAAGCCAATTAAACAAAAACTGCAGTTATTACAATATATCATATAAAAGTATTATAAAATATGTTGGTTTTCATTTAAAAAGGCTGGAGATTCTTCAATGCAAAATGTTGCTTATGCTCTTTTACAGGAGAAAAGGAACTATAGTTCCATGTTAGCCCAGAGTTATTCAGGGTTATATTCAGATCGTTGTTAACCATTATATAAAATATAAGTCTGGCTGCCAGTACCTAAATAAATGATTTAATGCTGTTTCCTTCTGGCCTATAGATTTGGTATGGCCAGAATAGTCCATTTTTGCTGAGGGCTGCAGGCTAAGTTTAGTTCTCTGTTTAATGCTAAATAAAACTTTGTCCTTTAATTTTTTTGCTGTTAAGTTTTAATACAATATGATACAATTAATAAGATTTGCTAGCCCCTTTATAAATTATGTTCAATTAAAAGTTTTGCTTTGATTTTAGTTTAAAAAGAGCACATTTAAAGTTATAATAAAGATTGTAGTTGAGTACAAGATTGAGTTTTACCTAGTCTCTTTGTTTAAGTTGTTTTTTAAGGTTTAATTTAAAATGGGTACAAATAAAGTTTTACTATATAGATTTAGCTAAAATTTGGTTCTAAAACATACATTTAAAAATATGCCAAAATTAAAGATTATAACATCCTGTTTTATAGGATGTAGTTTAGAGCAGATAATAAAGGCAGACAAAGAGTAATACTAATATGCTGGCTCTCAGACTTGTCAGAGATCTAAGAAATATGGCATTTTAACATATGTAAGCTTATTATGACAGAGTCACAAACAGAGTGGGCTGGAGAGGTGGCTCAGAGGTTAAGAGCACTGGCTGCTTGTCCAAAGGTCCTGAGTTCAATCCCCAGCAACCACATGGTGGCTCAGAACCATCTATAGTGAGATCTGGTGTTGCTGCCTGTGCTTATAAAAGAAAAATAATGTCTTTTCAAGTGTTTGGCACATCTGCACAAATAGCATAGTTATCTGCAGTATTGTGTTTCAAAGTTTTAATGAGCAGTCTTTGAACATTTTTACAGACATTGCATATGTAGCTCTGTCTTTGCCTAGGTTAGAGACTGCAGGTCAAATCCAGATATTTCCTCCTGCTGGAATTTTATTTTTACAAATTCAAAACTTGATAGAAGAAAGAAACTTTCCCTTTTTTATAGGACATTTGAGGGCTCATTCTAATTTGCCAGGACCCTTGTCTAAAGGAAAATGCATTGGCACATAAAGCCACCAAAGTTTCTTGTTCACAGTTTAAAAGAGCCCAAGATACCCATAACATGCATCATCTTAATAGTCAAACCTTGAGACTTAAATATGGGTTGACTAAGGAACAGGCCTGTACTATAGTCGAGGCTTGCAGTACTTGCCCTCAGTTTCAGCCTGTTCCTCATTTGGGAGTCAATCCTAAAGGATTGGTTCCAAATCAGACCTGGCAAATGGATATTACTCATATTCCTGAATTTGAAAAATTAAATTATGTACATGTTTGCATTGATAACCTATTCTGGATTTATTTTTGCCACTCCTTAGCCAGGAGAAGCTGCAAAAAATGTTATTGCTCATTGTCTACAGGCTTTTAATGTTCTACGAGTTCCTAAGCAATTTAAAACTGACAATGGAGCAGGATATTTTGTCAACAGTTTCAAGTTTCTCATATAACTGAAATACCTTAAAATCCTCAAGGAGAAGGCATGCTAGAGCGTGCCCACTGAACAATTAAGATTTACTTGCAAAAAAACAAAGAAGGGGGAGCCACTCCCTTGGACACCTAAATTTTTTTAAAAATTTGGATAAGCATGGTAAATCTGCAGTAGATAGATTTTGGCATACAAAAGCCAAAAGAAAAAAAGAAAAAAAAAAAAAACTTTTGCTAAAGTAAATTGGAAGAATCCTCATGGACCCGAATGAGGAATGGGGAATGACCATATGGGGAAGAGGAGCTGTCTGTGTGTCTTTTGCAGGAAAGTGATGCAGCTTGATGGCTACTGGAACGCCTGGTGCAACAAGTGGATGAGGAGTTTTCTCCTGACAATGATAATGATGTCAAAGAAGACCCCTCCAGTCAAGATGACTGCTTATGTGCTGCCCTTAAGGAAGAGTGCTGCTTTTACACAGATTATACTTGGATTGTAAGGGACAGCATGGCTAAGGTTAGGGAAGCCCTAGAAGAGAGAAAAAGACAGAGAAAACAAGAGGAGAGTTGATTTCATAATTGGATTTCAACCTCTTCCTGGCTCACCACCCTCCTTCCTTCAATTGTGGGACCCATGGTGGTTTCCTTCTCCTCATATGTTTCAGCCCATGGGCCATTAAAAGACTTACTAGCTTTGTAAAACAGCAAATTGACTCCCTGGCATCTAAACCCATACAAGTTCATTATCACAGACTTGATTTGGCTGACAGAGGCTTAGCTGAGCCTGAGGAAGACTTCTGACAGTCCATCACATGGGTCTTGACTGCTTGCATTTGGCTCTCCTGAGAACAGCATGAAACTCAGATAAATGCTTGCCTGGTGTAACATGGGTACCTGTAAGGGGTGTAGGATGACATACTGCAGGGGAAGGGCCCAATTGCCCACTTCTGAGTTCCCCGAGAAGCAAACCTGATTGCATAGAGGTTGGTGTCTGATTACCCCTAACCACAACCTGTTGGGGATGCCCTCAGGTGTTGATAGGATCTTCCTCTCCTCCCCCAAAAGACACCCAAAAAGGCTGCAAAATGCCTTGGGAGGATCAGGTCACTACTTCCCCCACCTCCCACCCCCGCTCTGGTTAATGCCCACCATCTTCAAAAGACCTCATGTTCAAAACCTACCTGCTAGCTTCTTAAATTGTTTAAGAAGGAGGAGATGCCGGGAGCCAAAGCTATTTACTGAAGCCAAAGCCAAATAGTGAGCAAAGGTCATTTAGTGGAGACTTAAAGTTTATTTAGTGAAAGAGTTATCTAGGACCCTAAATCATGGGTGATAGATTTGTGAGGACATCTGTCTGTTAGTTTTAGAGCATCCGTGAGATATCTTAAGAAAACATCCTTATGGTATCTTGCAGGTGCAATATTCAAGCCATGAAAGCACTCTTGCTATCTCCTGCAGCAGTAATTAAGCCTTCCCCCTTTCCTGCCTTCTCCCTATATAAGTGGGGTAAAAATTTCTAATAAATGAGGCTTTGATCAGACAAACAGACTTGGCCTCCTTCTTTGTGTCTCTCTGTCCCACCATTCTTTTCACACCCCCTTTAGAACCCCATTGAACTCCCACAGGTCAGGACACTATTGGACCATGGATGATTTTTTTTCTGCTCTATCCCTAACCACCTATGCCTGGAAATCTTTACTTTCTCGCAACTGTCCTTACCTGAACACCTGCTCAAGGCTGCTCTCTGCAGCTCCTCACCACAGCTGC